ATAGGTGCATTGTTGATAAATAGAGAATCTCACCCAAGTGTCTTCTGATATCAATTATATCATCACGAGTTGATAAAGTTACAAATATCCGAGGCTTGCCGAGGATATTTTTACTTTATCAACGAGTGTTGATATATTTGATATCAGAAGACACGAAGGTGAGATTCTATTTATCATCCAAAATCACTCTTCATTAATTTTCAATGAAAAATGTACATCTCTGAACTTTTTACTGCCATTAGACTTGCAGTGCAGCGATGTCATAGCATTGTGACGTCATCAAGTACATGACGTCATAGCATTGTCAGGGCATTGTACAAAATCTACTGTCAAAACGATATCTCCTAGGAGATATCGTTTGATCTCACACAAGCGATATCTCCTGTGGAACACAGTTTTGGATGATAAACCTACATCTACACTAAGCATATCACTTTAGTAAACACTCTCGGGGGGTTACTATCAATAAATTCCATACATTCTGTGCCTGAGTTGAGGCAAATGACTGACTTCAGTTTTTCTACACTAACTCATAACATAAATGGGTAAATTCAATATTCAGCCAATTCACCAGAAACTGGCACAACACATTTTAACAAGCTGGGTAATCGAACCCGGATCTTCTTCATGATAACCCAAGTAGGCTACCCTGCTATTCCTGGTGATATGAAGGACCTTGTTCTAACCTCTTGTTTTGTTCTCTTAAAATGTGCACCTGTTGGGCTGTATGGTAGAGTAATGCAACTTCCCCCGTCTTACTAAGCTGATAACTTTCACTGCACTGCCTACTGATGTCTATAACTGACCAAGATCTATGTGGATGACTGCAATGACATTTTGGTGTTAGATTGCTGGTGTAATTGCTTCATTTCTGAGGAGAAGCCTGGCACCATTTGTGATTATGTTTAATCCCCGAGTGGAGATCTTTTAAATTTCTTTATGCTTAAGTGGGAGTAGAACAAAATTATTACTGCAAATATTATGGATTGGGTATCAATGATACTTGTTAAAAGGTGTACGAAAATCCATCGAATCAATAACGATATTAAATCTGGACCATGAAGGTAACCGTTTCGCGGTATGGTGTAAGGGAAGCAACTCTTACAGTCTTATTATGCCATCCAACCTGCTACTGGCAACCTGAATGCCCCCAAATGTCAATCGCCCTTACTGATCTCGGCTGTTTCCGTATACTTAAATACACGGGTTATTACTTAGTGAGCATTTTAGCACGAAACAAGCTCACTACAAAGAAAACATATTTTCCAAATCACGCAATCCATACTCATTTTCAGTAACTCCACATTTGAATTGGGGGAGGGGGGGACACTTCAATTCACAGGCAAGCCTATTAAGTTGAATGATGCAAGGGAAGCAACACCTCTAAGCAAATTGACCCAACCCGGACGCCCCACCATCCCTACCTCCTTATCCGTCTAACTAACATAAATCTGTCTACATAACTATCAGCATTTGTATCTTAATATCGAGTGCTAGCGTATATGATTTTGTTCTTGCTCTAAAAGCTATTTTTTTTTAAATTCCTTAAGAACAGAAAATTACAGACACAATATTTCAATACACGATCTCATTTAGGATGTGTTGTATGATGATTTCTCGGGTTAGGTCAGATTCTAGTATTTTGTGGAGTAACATCCGAGATTCAAGCCCTCACTTTCCGGGTGAATTACTTAACCATTAGCTCTCGAAATAAGCAATCTTACCTACGCGGCTTCAATGGATGTCGGACAAAAAGTGTAGGAAAATCGAATCAATAATATAACTGACCTGAACCATTCAGGTACATGGTTGGCGTTATGATGTAAGGGAGGCAACTCTTACCGCCTTATTATGCCAGGCAACCGTCTTTCTGCATAATAAACGTCTCTTTAACTGATCCCGATGATTTCCATGTCCTCAAATAGACGGAAACCCCGCATTCTCAGTAGAGTCGTTCATCTAATGACTGCGGCTTTCCCAAAATATTAGAGTCTACAGGTGGTCTAGATCACATAGTTTGTGATCATTACACAAACACAGATACTAAGTGAGTGAGTGTGTGTCAGTCTTGCCAACAGCATGGCGTGTTTCACAACAAGGAACAGTAGGAAAGGGTTTCACATATTGTAAACATATATTTAGAATCGAGCCTCGGTCTTCAGTGTGATGGACGAACACTTAACCACAGAGCCACCCTACTTTAAGTAGTTGAGAGTTTTGATAGTGACATAGTTTATTGTCAGTCAGCAAAATATGTGTTAACCTTAGGACAATACATTGTTTTACTTTTGTGGAATTCTGGGTAAAACGCTGTCCTTCGTCACCTATTGTAGCTGTATTGAGGATCAAATGTTGTGACTCGGATTGTATCCCAAAGACATGTCGCTCATGATATCAATCATTGGTTGTCCTGGTCTAGGCTTGATTATCTACAGGCCGCCCTGCTATACCTGGAGTGTCAAGGCGTGTGGTGCAAAACAGCAAACAATTGCCATGCTCATTTTCCTGCTTCCCTTGCAAGATGTTAGCGTCAATTGTTCACGTAATACATCAAACGTGAGTGAGTGAGTTTAGTTTTACGCCGCTTTTAGCAATTTCAAGGCAGGGGACACCGGAAATGGGTTTCCCACATTGTAGCCATGCGGGGAATCGAACCCATGACTTCGGCGTGACGAGCGAACGCTTTAACCACTAGGCTACACCTGTATATCATGAGGGAGTGAGTGAGTGAGTTTAGTTTTACGCCGCACTCAGCAATATTCCAGCTATATGGTGGCGGTTTGTATCTAATCGAGTCAGGACCAGACAATCCAGTGATCACGAGAATGAGTATCGATCTGCGCAATTGGGAACCGACGACATGTGTCAACCCAGTGAGCGAGCCTGACCACCAGATCCCATTAGTCGCCTCTTACGACAAGCATTGGTTACTGAAGATCAATTCTGACACGGACCTTCACGGGTCTATATATCATGAGATGTATATACATAATAAAGTATGATCAATAACAAAGTCTTATTATTTTAATATCAATGCAATAAGTTTTTATTCATGAAACATTTCGACATTATTAAACTTTTATAGTTGTGTTTCTTTGGAACAAAGCAACAAGGTAAATGTAATCGTTGGTTGTGGTATTCATTATTTCAGACTACATACTTGTCATTTTCAACACATTTATATATAATCAAGTCATAAGCAGGCGGTTCATCAATAAAACACGGCGTCTCTTTCCAGTTGTAGCACTATAATGTCTTAATTCACATGTCCTGTCGACATCATCATACTGAACATAAAATTGCTTAATATTAAAATGAGTAGTTACAATTCACTCCATATGGACCGATCATTTGGGATTGCAATATTTTAGATCAAGTTTATTCAAGAAAAGTCGCGTACGTAATTAATACCGAAGTGTTTACAAAAAATATCGTTGTTCAGTAGAACCCCTGCAAAATTTGATCTGCGGACAAAAATTGCAGCGAAAGATATGTATTTTGTAGGTGTGAAAAAAGCCTGTCCCAAACAGATATCCAGTAATTGGTCAGCGGTCGGTTACTGACGTAAGTTGTTGATATGTTTTTTATTATCATTCTGTGAAGAACTAACGGTTATACATACAGTGAGTGAGTGAGAATGGTTTACGCCGCTTCCAGAAATAATACGGCGGGGGACATCAGAACTGGGCTTCAAACATGGTACCAATGTGGGGAATCAACCCGAATTTTCAGCGTGACACGCTGAATCGAAAACTCCCAGGCTACCACACTGCCACTTTGAAAACGTCAACCCGTTAGTCAGGAACTACTTTGGAACGTCATCAGTTCACGTCTCACGTAGAATTCGTTAATCGGATCACCTAAAACCCTGGACGATCAGGTTGGATATACATTCGGCACGATACTGTCGGTGTTGTTGGAGTTTCGCTGGATTTGTGTTTTTATGTGTAATGAATGGGACAACTTTTTGTTCTTTGTATGTCCTAAAAACTGAATGTCAACCGTGAACGGAATACAATATTGACAACGAAATTTGATTCCAGTCCGCCGACTCCGCCATCGTGAACACTTGTTATCGTGTTTCAATAGTCAGTAGTCTATCCTGATGGAATCAGTTATAAAACATCTAAATAGGCTGATACATTTGATATTCCAAAATCTTAATTAGGATTTGAATGAAGGTCATAGGCTACTAAGAATAATCTGCCAACAAGTGAATTCATATTAATCCTTGGTGCTGGAGGAGGTTCGTTCCTGTTATTTCCCTAGGCCAGATGTCCGTAATGCGTACTTCCGTCTTGTTTGTTCTGTTTATCATTCTAGGAGTATATACTGGAAAATACGTTTCTTTTTTCACAGATGTTGTCCGACAACCTATTATCAAAACGACGTCACACAAAACAGTCTGTTGTGTAATGTACAATGGATGACGTCATTTCAATAATTGGCAACGTTACATGCGTGTTGCCATTGATCAATTTGCTGACAGTGAAAACGATGAAATAAATAAACGAATTTGTTGATCAGCATGAAGCAAAAATTGTAATACCCAGTGAAAATGTATCGAATATATTTTCACTTATTCCTCATCTGGTTTCAATCCAGTTTCTCTTTAATCACAACAGCTCGAGTGAATCATGTGAAGAATATCCTCAGAGCTTGGTCTTCCGTCATATATAACTTGTATTAAAATCACATATTGGGCTTGTTGTGATGTGTACATCTTGCATCACTTGAATTATCCGATGGATACTCAACGTTGAGTGACGAAAAGCATCTTGGCATTGGAACTCCATTCATCGATTCATCGATCACACAAAGGCTGTGCCAAAACAAATCATTTCACTTACAGTTCGTCTCCAGTTCTTTTCACAACCATGTGTTCATTCAGTTTATAATCTAACCTAATGTTTTTGCCATGGCGTACAAAACACGCTTTTGACTTGAAATACAATGATCAGTTTTTCGGTGGTGTTCTCACAATTGACGCTTAACGTTCCCGAGTGACGTGTACCAACAGGAACATGACATTAGGGGTAATCACACGTTACCGAGTGAAATCAGGCTTTGCTGTGTCATAAGGAAGGGGCATCGATCTCGTTTGAAGTGTAGGGTGGAATCTCATTTTAGTTAATTCTTCACCATTCACAAAATTTCTCTGCGTGAGATTTTTGACACCTTGTCCATCTTTTTGCCCCAAGTAAACCCTTTAATCAGTCAATCAAAATGAATGCCTAGGAATTCTCGGAATGAGTGAGATAATGTGCATCTCCTAACCAGCTGTACACAGTCAGTTCCAAATGTAAATAATATAGGCCGCACATGTTTGCGTGTATTTCACACACCATGGCAATTCTGAACGCCATTAAGGTACACCCAAATGGAGTACCATCTATGTTGGTCCATTTTGTGTGTCAAATGTCAATTTCCAATTCAATGGGGCCGGGTAAAGAAATATAGCTGAATCTCTCAAGATTGGTAGTGACAGGTCTTCACGTGACACTCGCTGCACAACATTCACACAACGCAGCGGAAGAGTCTTCCTGTTTAAGTACGGGCCCGTCTGTGTCAAACACTACTTTGACTTTCATTTAGGAGCGGTTCCTGCTGTGCAAGAGGCTCTGAAGACAAGTTCGAACTGCTTGATGACCTACGTCCTGAGAGACCCCGGAAGGAAGACACGCGCATGCCCGTACTGGTCGTGATGAGGTCATTATCAGCCCCCGATGATCCGCTCTGCAAAAACAAAGGAATGGAAGTAAAGAGAGGTAAAACTATGAGAGGGAAGGATGCTCGATGTAGACCTGGTTACCTTGCTGATTTAACCCCGGTAACTTGAGTTTTGGAACCCAAAGCATACATTAACCATACATTAACATACGAAAGCGACAAGTTGCAATCTTTTTCTTGGTTTAAAACTTCCCAACATTAATTTTATTGCCAGACATATTTTATTATTGTGGTGACGGCAACTTAACATTTTGTATGGCATAATTCTACATTGTGCACACGCCAGGGTCAAATGCTCTGAGGATAATGATTGAGAAATTTACAATAGCTTAGGCCGTGATACGGATCGTATCAATAAAAGTCTCAGCTTTGTTTTGCATATGCAATATAAAAATGCAAAACATCGTTTCATTAAACGTAAAGGTTCATCATACGACACGCGACGAGGTTTTATCGCGTTGTAAAATAATCGCAAGTCCTTTGAGTACGCTTCTATTTCATTAGAACCCGACCCGTGAAGATCCGGGTTAGTATTGGTTTTCAGCAATCCATGCTTGACTAAGAGTCGACTTATGGGATACGTCAGGCTGGTTGACATGGTTGACACATATGCCATCGTATCCCAGTTGTGTTCATAATGTCAACCACTCGATTATTGACAGAGGGTCGCCAAATAGCTGGAATATTGCTGAACAACGGACAATAAATCAAATAATCAACTGAATCCCGTCTATTGCACTGATAATTTCTCAGATTACAAGCATGGGTTGTAAAGTGTTCAAATGGGATCGTCGGTGTGGGTATTCCTTTCCGATAGCAAAGGCTGTACACATGCGATAAAAGGTTTTATACCACCCTGTAATGTGGTAATATTCCAAGATGGTAAATGAATATTCCAAGTTGGTAAATAAATATTCCAAGATTGTAAATGAATATTCCAAGTTGGTAAATAAATATTCCAAGATTGTAAATGAATATTCCAAGATGGTAAATGAATATTCCAAGATGGTAAATGAATATTCCAAGATGGTAAATGAATATTCCAATACTGTACATGAATATTCCAAGTTGGTAAATGAATATTCAAAGTTGGTAACTGAATATTCCAAGATGGTGCATGAATATTCCAAGTTGATAAATGAATATTCCAAGATGGTAAATGAATATTCCAAGATGGTACAGGACAAATGAAGAATTTATCCCAAGACTACACGCTACAACGAGTTCACTCACGTCATGTGGGTAATACATGAGCCCCACCCACTCAGAACATTGAAATCTGCAGAGTACAATCAATGAGATTCACTCGGCTAATTCCGCAACCCCATGCACCAGTGAAACTGTAATATCGCAATATTACATACTTTCATTTAAAAATCGATTTGATGCGCACATATTGCTGTCTATATATCACACATCACGTTGCATTTATTGCACACGGGCCAATGACCTTTATACCGACATAAATTATTCAATGTTCAATGTTATTGCTGTGTATCTGTGGAAATGTTGTTCCTGCAATTAAACGTTTATGCTGTTTTGATGGCGATCGCGATTTATAACCTTAAACCAGCATCAGGACTTTTAACGGTTGATACGTTACGTTAAGTAATCAATCATGTTGTGTATATTGTGCCCATTTCTCAAACCATACATCCAAACATACAGATACGTGACCAAACATTATCGTATGAGGCGACTAAATAGATGTAGATTGAATGCTAAGGAGTGAGTGAGTGAATCTTGTTTTACGCCGCCTTTAGCAATATTCCAGCAATATTACGGCGGGGGACACCAGAAATGGGCTTCACATTTAGTACCCATGTAGGGAATCGAACCCGGGTCTTCAGCGTGACGGGCGAACGCTTTACCTATTAGGCTACCTCACCGCCCGGATGGTAAGACTCAGTAACTTGCGTGTATCGCGATTGCATGGAACGTTGCGCATGATATCAGTGACTGGTTTGTTTGTAAATATTGCTCATTTACTGTATGTCGTCATATGCCTGCAGTACATTTGAGCGGGGCATTGAACAGCAAACATACACAAGGAGACATTACCTTTGAAAACTTGCGAACCTTTTCTTTACATGCACATCTGATGACTGACGAGACGAGGAGGATGAAGACTGTGACACAGATGACGATGATGAGGACCATGAGGATGGTGCTGGGGCCGCACCAGTCGCTGTAGTCGCCACAGTTGTTGAAGTTGTCACAGTGGAGGCTGGTGTTGATGCAACGTTTGTTGTCACATCTGAACTCGGTCGTGTCACATTTGCCTAAAAGAGTAGTAACAAACTAACTTTACAAAATAAACATTGAAACGTGTATTGTGTACATGTTTGTTGTTTATTGTCCAGCTTAACGATACCGAAGCTTCAAGATGAAGGCATGTAAAATACTCGGGTGTGGACCAGAGAACGCAAAACTGCTCGGGACTTGATGACATGCATCAACCAACTCCTGTAAGTCGCCGCTGAAGACCAATAGTAATGTATATTATTGTATCGCAACTACGAAACATACGAGCATGGTTCCTGGGCATAGACCCATTGTCGTGTCCCTCTCGCCGGACACACGCTCCTTGCCTGCTTCATCATACTACTAGTAGTTTACTACAACTACTAGTAGTTATAATTATTATGATGATAATCACGTCCTATGTTACAAGACAAACCACAGCTCACAAGGCGAAAAAGATAAATTAAGATGAGGACGTTTTCCAGGGATGACAGAAAACCAAAGAATTTGGGCTCAATGTCCCTGTCAGAAAAACTCCAGATTTGTCGCTGCAACACCCAGACCGGGGTTGAGGTGAGGTAAAATGGGGTTTAACGTCGCACTTAAGAATATTTCGCTCATATGACGATGTACATGCGTCCCGAGGTTGAGTGCAGTTTAAAATTTAAATAATCTGACAATGCACAAGGTTACAAAATTCAGGTTTGAAACAGGTACTTTTCTAGTGGATGGCGAACATCGTTAGTAAATATTGTTGCGACTGAACTATTTCGATTTGACGTCGTTTCGAGCAGAATTTTTTGTCATAAAATGGCGAGTAAACCTGACGTGAGGGACATCCATTAGTTATTCTGTACATGGTACAGACAAATCAAGGAAAACAATTAGGGATAATCAGAGATTCGAACCATGATCATAGAATCCTTCCACAAACATGTTTGCAATACTACTTACAGGATTATATTGTGAACGGTGGTAATCAGAAGGACTCCAACACACGAAAAGCGGATCCTTACACGCTGAAGCGACGTAACCTTGGATATCGAATTGTGTTTTGAATGATCGTGATTGGAAGGATTCGCAGACAGGACAAGAGGATCATTCACTGCCAAGCAACGTCATTTTATCTTTATCACTAAAAATATACTTTCAATGGCACCAACTAAAAATCTCACCAGTATGGAATGCAGTAAAAATGAGGTCAAATCCTCTGTATTCAACTGTTACGTCGCTGTGGAACACAAACGTGACGACATCGCCGGTGGTGACAAACGTTGCACGAGGAGTGAGAGACCCACATAATTTGTTTGTTATAGGAGTTTCTGAAACAAACAAGAGAATTTCCAAAAGTTACAACGTTTGGAAAAGAAACATGTACACACACACGCACGCACACACTGCTCTTCCGCACATATTGCAGTCATGTAATTACATAGCACCTTGTCCATAAACGTTGTCGCAAAATGTCACGTCCTGTTCTGAAGGGGCCTCTAGCATTGATTTTCTTATAAGATATAACGCTGAAATAACATCTTGCGTTAATCATGATTAGGTATAATAATGGTGGTTTTAAGTAAATTTGTCGAATTATTCTGTCTTAGCTTTATGATGAATAATGTCGCGTGTCATTCTATCCCTTCCCAATCCTGATAAATTTCCTTTTTACAGTTATAAAACATCATGTGGAGAAATCTGATAGGACTATGTAAGTGCAATGATACTGGACACTTGTGCCCTGCAGTCAGTCGTGATATTGAACGATATGTAGCATGGTTGCTACGAACAATAATATTTTGAACACTCATTGCGTCATTGTTTTTATTGGAAGATAAATAACAGCGACACAAATCAATTCCAAAGTCCATTGTACGGTGGAGTATGTCAAAACAGAGTATTACTCCCGACATACTGATGGGTCAAATTTATGGCATCCAGATGTCGTGCCAAAATATCCTTTTAAAAAGTTTACTGATGCCTTGAATGTCGTAACCCTGACTTAAAAGATTTCGCTGATTGAATTTGTTTAACCTGTCATTTGTTTTCAGTTGTTGGTAAGATTCGTTATTAAATTAAATTCTAAACCATATCAAAGTGGGCGATTGATCAAACCTTTTTTTTATCTGATAATGGACATGAATCTGTTATTTAGCTGATGCTGTCTATTAATCGTGGAGAAGGCGATGAAATGATGTCTCCTACATGTACTACAGCTACTGTGAAAAAAATATGTTAGTGAGTTTGGTTTGACGCCGCTTTTAGCAATATTCCAGCAATATCACGGCAGGGGGACACCAGAAATGGAGAAACATATGTCGCCATACTGAACATTGTCAAACAATGAATGATGTCACAATTCGTGATCGTGCAATCCTTAACAGGGATGATGATTAGAATTAACGGCCAGCAGAATGCGAAGTAATATATACAAATGATGGGTTTCTTTCTTGGAAAACTGAAAATTGAAAATACAGTAATTGAAATATTCATACTGCAATGGAATGTGCATTGAATTTAAAGAAGTGTCACAAACGGAAATTGTTCACTTCAACAACATGTGAAAACCTATTCTGGACTCAACCGGGGTGATAAAGCTGGAATTAAATGAAAAAGTAAAAATGAAAGTAAAACAAGGAACTTCAGACTCACTTGTATATTGCTCAACATATTTGTGATTATCCATAGAAGGACTCTTGTCATCCGGACCATCATAGAGGATCAAGTAATCAGACTCACAGCCCTCCGACATGAACCCTTCGAGATCCATGTCAAGAAACCTGACCATCAGGTGATGGTCAGCAGGTGTCCGGATGGACATCGTGCAAGCCATGTCCTTCCGGTATCGTTCATTCTCGTACGTGAGACGCAGCCTCCCTGCTGAGATTGGACGGTTCATCATATCTAGCACACTCATAGAGCACCATTCTGTCATGTAGTCTGAAATGGAGATAGCCGGGACGCGCTCAACGTTCCATCTGTTAATGCAACAAAAATATGTCTAGGCGCCAGCAAATGGTCACTGAAAGCCAGCTTAAGTCAATTAGCTCATACTGTCTGGCAGTCCATGTGTTATAAAAGTTTAGTCACTCCCGATTGACCTGTGCTTTTATGTGTATTCTGTTATCAATAAAACGCCAGACCCAATAAATTGGGGATGCAGTTCACGACCGTCTTCGAGAGAAAACAATTAAATCATCTGAAAAAAAGAACTGTTAGCATTTTGTTTTCGCAGCAATACGCAGAATTACTTTCCTTGTTCATGCTCGTAAATCACGTTCAACGTGGTGATATGACGCCATTTGGTTACACAATTCATAACAAAAACGTTTTGCTATTATTCCAAGAATAAAGATAGGATGCTTGACCTGACCTGTAACCTGCACCCGTTTGTGACAGTATCATTTATGAATCATTACAACTTTTCAATTCAAAGATAATATACTCATGCCAATAATGGTTGTCACCCCCTTCAATTTCTTTTATTGGAGAGGGCGGTGGGGTGTGGGGTGTGTGGGGTTGGGGTGGGAAGGGGGTGACAACCATTATTGGCATGAGTATATTAATGTTATACAAGCAAAGATCGACACTCATTTGTAACTTTCGTCTTACTTCCTAGGGACTGGCAAATATTTAATGTGAACATATTATTTCCCTTCCTTAAAGAATATATGATCCAGGACTCTTTGGATGTACAAAAGGAATTATGTGAAAACAATCAAAGAAAACAATTTAACATTGTATAACTAGACTGCAATAAATGCTCTCACTACGTCATGAAGAAATACGCAAATAGTTCCATGTCAAATGTGACGGGTCATCATAGTCATCCACCAATCCTTGTGTTTGGACAATGCAAGGCGAATACTATTCCATGATGTTTGCATCACGCACAGAGACATCAAAAGTCTTGAAAAGGCAATCCAGTGATCAACAGCATGCGCATCTATCTATGCAATTGGGATACGATGTGACCACCCGAGCGCGTACGACAAATATTGGTTGCTGAAGACCAATTCTAATCCGGATCTTCACGAGTTTCGTTACCGGGATAAACGCCTAAAGCGTTGTGCCATTATTCGATAACCATGGTTTCAATCCCAAATTTGTCAAGTTTGGATCACCTATATGTACACACAAATCTGTATTTCAGCGGTGCTCACGCCCACGCACAGGCACACACGCACACACACACACACGCACAGTTATAAAAGTGTTAATTCGATCCTTCAAATAATTTTGCAACCCCATCGATTATCTAGGGACCTCCGCAACCTAAATATTGAGCATGAACGCATCTGAAGTTTAAGCATGTGAATACTGCACAATATGATTCTCAATCTCGATTGCTAATCAACTGATGGCCAGAGTCCCATCGACACTACTCGATGGTTGAATTACATGGTTGCACCAACAAGCCATTAAGTTTATGAGAATGGACATATCTTCCCCATGAGGACAGTAACACACAAACTCAATATCGTAATGTCTGATGGAGCCGTATAGTTCTGCTGCGGTCGATGCAGTGACTGTGCATATGTGCTTCATATTAACCATATAATGAAACCTGCAGTTTGCAAAGACCCAGTATGTCAATATTCTTTGTATTTGCTCAGACAGATCTAGATTCACGCAAACTCTGTATGGGATTAAACAAGCAGTGAGCTGTTTACACTGTTTGATGTTCAAAGTTGTGAAGTGAGGCTCACTATATTGTGGCACACTGTGATTTGAGTGTTGAGCATGGATCGATACTTGCGTTCATTCTACCTTTGAAGGGCTTATAGATAAGTACCTTTTCTCTATGAGCAGCAAACGAAATGGTTAACAACACGTGTGTGCATACATACGCATGAGCATTAATTAAGCACCATCTGACCGCAAGGGCAATATTAACATTTTTGTCCAAACAGGTGATACCCTGTCATGAAATGCACATGCATGTCAAACACGTGCAAAATCTCAAAAAGCTATTGGTGGCAAGCTCACCGCATAGTTGCAGGATGAGCATTACAGTTTTCTGAACTGATTTAAAGCTTCTAGCATAACGACTTTCAGAATATTCACGTTATTGACATGCATGATGTAGGGACGTCGCTATTAATTTTAACTTTAACCACACTGATATTAGTCGACTTATGACGAAGCACGTGGCTACCAGTGAAGTATAACATCGTCCAAGACATGGAAGACCGAGGAAACACAATAACCGTGATGACTGCGTCCTTTCGATGTTTGACAAGACGCAATCCCATGTGAAACTGCACTCGCCACTGAGAGGGGATGCCCCACCTCTCCACCAGTGCCATCGGTAGGAGGCTGGGGCTGCTGGCCTGAGAGAACGTCGTCCGATCAGACGTCCCTTCCTCACAGATAGGCGCAGTCAGGGACATCTGTCTGTGGTGCAGACGACTTCAAGACATGGCGGTGAGTTCGTTGGCCTATCTTTCACACGTTACTGGCAGTCGTAGTCGCGTATGGAGACGTCGTAAAAAGCCATATCACCTAGAAATGATCCACAGAGCTGATCGATGATCGTATGATCGATCTCATTACAGTATCTGGTACACTTTATGGTCAACGTTAGGAACAGGCAATACTGGGTACCGCCGTACTTGCCACATTGTCATGCCCACCCCTTAGCCCGTCGTCCGATGTTCATGGTTGGCAACGGTAGATCTCACCTTTCTCGGAACGTTACCATGGACCGCAAGGAGCCCCGATATGAACCCGATTGAACATCTTGAACATCAGGTGCAAGATAGAGACCCTCCTATTCAATATCTGCAGGGATTGACAGCGGTACTCCATAAGAAATTTCAGAGGATTGCGACGTTGAGAATTCAAAGCATGGTCGAGGAGGAGACTGACAGATACTATCCGTGCAAGGGGTCGCCAGAAGTGTTTCACACAATCATAGCAATCATTATTTGAGAACTGTGTGACAATCAGATTGGTCGCGTCGCCATGGTGACCATACCTTCGGCAGCGTTGATATTCACGTCTAGTGAATTCCTCTCAGATCAGTAAATTGTTACCAAATTTAAATTTAAGTTTTGTCTTTGTACTAATCAGAGTAAAACATGTGACAATTACCATATAAATATGCGGAATGTGCCGCTGGTTTTCAAAGCACATACATTACTAAGTATAGGTTTCATACTTGTCATATATAAACAGGACTGCTTGGTTAATGCTCAAGTGTATATGTACTCTCACAGGTTTCTAGGTGAAAGGTGTCCCAGAACAACAGGACTGCACTGCACTTGGCCTCCAGTTGATTACATATCACTGAACGTGTTCCCTGCAAGACACACACAATTTCATGCATTCTTGGGACAACATTCGCAGACAACACAAGTACCATGCATTTGGATCCCCTATGTATGCAATACATACAAAAGCTTTTACATGGTGTTGGGGACATACCAAAACTGTAACAAAAGCCCAAATCAATAATGATTTTTCCATCCCTCCTATCATCGATTGAGGTGAAGCTGTTCAAACATGGATACAGCGTTTGGCAGAGAAATTAATTTTGTTGACCATATTCATGCTCTCGAATATAATTATATAGTTAGTAAGTAGTTGTTATATTGTTGCAATACGTTCACCTTTAAATACCACTACGTTAAAAGCCATCTGATTTTTAAATGTGCAGATCAATTTCAAGGGGATGTGGGTGGGAGTGGTAGAAATTTGTAAACCGGTTGCGCTCTTCAAGTCCAGAATGCATAAAGGGATCAATACATTACGCATTTTTTTACAAACCATGATCAATAGTTGACATTGTAATTGCCCCCACAACACGCTTCTAAATCTAATAAACAGTAAGACATATTCAACACTGCAAACCTTGTCACAAGAACAGCCTATTTATGTGAGAAGTATCTGTACGACCACGTCTCACTTAATGTATGATTCTTTACCGATAGTTCTCGTACCTCCATGAGCGCAACTGCTGAACAAACACTTCTGGGAATTGGGGACTCAACTGACTGTCTGTGAAATAGGACAAACAAGCCCACGGACATACATCTGATGTCTAGCGTTAAGGATCGATTAAACTAACTGGCTGTCAGCTTTGTTGAAATGGACATCCGGAATGTTATAATGGCTAGGCAATGTAGCGTTCCAATAGGATAAATGCGCCCGAAGCATTATGATCAGAAAATTGCATTGTCTAGAACCTAAATCTAACCAGATAAGATGACCATTACGCGTGCCTCTAGTAAGCTCCTATTGACCTGACAACGGGGCTTCAAGAAGATTGGCTGACTACGTTTTGTTTTACGCTGATTTGAGCATCATTTCAGTTATATTAGGACGTGTCATCTTGATATGGAAGGACAGCAAGTCTGGTGCTGTTGGTCCTGTCCGTCGACCACTTTAATTTGGTGAAACCAAGGAGCATAGAGTGCTGCTGTAATGATCTAAACTGTGATTCGAACCTACAACATACGATTTCTGGCAGGACTACCCGTTGTCCTGGTAGCACGTGAACATGGGCCCACTTTTGTGTGTTGCAGATAAATTCGTTCATTTTTCTTGCAGATTAAAATTAATCCTTCTTGCAATATTCGCAATCGTCATTGTCATCACTGTCACTAGTAATTACGCTTTATTATGTTAAAGGCTGCAGTAGAACTGTATCTTAAATGCATATCAAATTGACAATGTGTGATCCCTGTAACTTGAGTTATGCTATATTTTTATAGAATTACTGGGGGTTTTCAAAGGTAAATGCCTGTTAATGTTGCCCGCAATATTATAATTACTTCAAGATCACATTCAGAAAATCAGGTGAAAAGGTATTCTTGGGAAAAGGTCAATCAGATATGGAGGGGAAGACAATGAAGGATATTTTGTGTATTGACGTGATTACTAGTTTCAATATTTTGCATATCTTGTATGGTGCTCAAGTTATTTTATATCCCGATTTCAAAAGGATCGCCGTTTTTTGCTCATGAACTTTTTGTTTGCCAAGTTATGATGGTATTTAACCACCTTTTCTCGGCTGAACACTTGAATATGTGAGTCAGTATATTTCCGTTAGGTTAGCCTTGATATCAAACATACCCGTGACGATCCGGTTTAGAGTGAGTGAGTGAGTTAAAATTTATCGTCACATCGGCAATATTTCAGCCATATCGTGACGAGAACAATTAATTTTATACATAGTAATTAATGATAAATTGTAAAAAACCTGTCAACGAAGGACAGTAAAATAACTAGATTATAACAGATTCGAATTTAAAACTAGTAATTAGATCTAAAACAGTTTAACTATAGATGACAATACAATGTAAAAACAGGTTATATTTTGCTAACATCTGAAGGTAGATCACCCTACTAGGGACCATGGGGACTTACAGTACATTTGCCTCCTGCAGGGGCCCTAGCTGGATTTACATCATCCATTCAGCTGTTAGCAATCAAGCCGTATAGTAAAATTACAATTATTCTACGATTAAAAAAGTGGAGTTTTAATTTACTGGGAATGTTTCCGGACTTACGTACCCTCTCAGGAGGACAATAATTTTACAGTACTTTAACCCCCCCTCGAGGATACAGCCACTACCAATCTGAGTTATTAATTCAAACTTCCAATCATAAAAAAACTTACCTATATACAAATCAGTTAACAAATCTAATTCTTTTAAAAATGCAATAACTAAATGAGAATTGATATTATTAAAAAGATCCTTCATAGTTCGTGATTTAGAATAGCTATCCCTTGTGATGGAATATTCAACACAGTCAAGCAAGACATGCTTGACCGTGATTCTCTCATCACAAAGGATGCAGAACGGAGGATATTCACCTTTCAATAGGTATTCATGTGTATATCTGGTGTGACCAATACTACATCGTCGCATGATGACCTCTTCAAATCTGGACTGACAACTCAAGTAGGTGTAACCAATATAGACTTTTATTTCATGTAATTTATTAATACCCACTTGGGTGTCCCACTTCTTTGGCATCAGGTCACAGATATAAGATCTAACAGCAGCTTTGTAATCAGAGAAGTGGCGTCACAGATTTGTTCAGTGCTGCCTTGGCAGCAAGATCGGCCATTGTGTTCCCAGAAATGCCAACGTGGCTGGGTAACCAACAAAAGACGATGTCGCATTGGCCAGTAGCAAGCTCATTATACAATAAAATAATTTCTTATAAAAGTGGATGTTTACAAGAAAGGTTTTTAATAGCCCGAAGACACGAAAGAGAATCGGAAAATATTATGTATTGTTTATATTTACGGTGTTTATTAATATATTTAAGAGCTGTTAATATGGAATTAGCTTCTGCTTTGATCCGGTTTAGAACTGGTCTTCAGAAACCCATGCTTGTAGTAAGAGGCGACTAAAGAGACTGGGTGCTCATGCTCGCTGACCTGGCTGACACAAAACATCGTATCCCAATTGCGTAGATCGATGCTGATGATGTTGATCCCTAGATTCTCTGGCCCAAACACGCTTATTTATAGACCGCTCATATAGCTGGAATATTGCTGAGTGCGGCGTTGAACAACAAACCAAACCACATTAAAGACTTTCTTGTGTTAACTCCGGCATGAGTCAGAGTTAAGAGCAAACTACGGAATACCAGGGACTATCGAAACACTACTTACACGTAAGAAGAGGCAGGACAAAGTGGAGGTGGACGGAGAGAAGAAGGCAGCTGTGTAGAAACTTCATTGCACTTGTAACAACCGTGCTGACGTTAGTTGAGTCGTGGAGTGATTAACACAACTATCGTTCACGCTATATCGCCAGTTGGAAAACATACCTTGTCACAGAGGCTGATGTCGCTTCATTTCTTATTACCAATGTGCTATGTCAAAAAACAAACAAACTATGATCATATAGTGATATTATTGCCGGATCACATACCATCAACGATTGTGTCCTCACACTATGAACTGAAAAGTTATTGCAATGATGGTTTAATTTTCATCATTGGCTTGTGTGTTTCCAAACCTCACGCTATGAACAGTACATTTAAAATGAATTTCTTTGATCTCCATTGGTGCTAGTAGACGCTGTGAGCGGTAACATCTTTGGCAATATTTCATCAAAGGTGTTGTCTTAAAACCCCACACTCTGAATTGATGCTTATAGTGGTTGACACTTGTTCAGCACCGATGTTGTATTCAAACCTCTGACTCCGAGAAGTAATATATGTTATTGGTGGTTCAGTTTTACTCATCGAGTTTTCAAACCATACACTGTGGATGAGCTGTAGGATATGACGCTGGTGTACATGTGGCCATTGTCGAGGTAGTATCCAAATATTAGACGTTGTATCAGCTTCTGGTGAAAGGATTTCAAATGAAATATCATCAAACCCTTGTAATCTCTTGAGACAAAGCCCTGACGTTCCAGCTGTATGATTCAATCCTTATACGAGAAGTGACACCATGAACGTGTCCTATTCATCAAAACGAACTTTGTCAACATCCCTCATTACCTCAGAATCAGGAAATGTTTATGGTTCTAAAGTAGCTGCGTTGTTGCCGCACACTGGGAAAATAACCATTAACAATTCACTATTTCACATTCTGCCCCACGCTAAAATCGTTCTTGTCGATTTTGCACAGCATGTGCCAGACACCATTCGTGAAGAAACAACATTTCGTTTTTTTCCATCGCAAAAACCAGTGCAATACGATATTAGTCAGGAGATTTGATCCGCCATCGAATCAAGAACATAGATTTGGTGACATCCATTCCGGAGTGAAATTACCGTGGTCAAAATAACCAAACAAATTGTTTGTGCATCATGCTTCGGGGAATCAATACATGACCTCTTTAGGCAACCTTTATCATGCTGATCATTAATCATAAAAGTTCTCGTTCTCCTTTCTAGCTTATGTACACGTCACAGAAGCATTGTTCCTCACTTTCCTGACAGCCAGTGTATCTTGTAAGCTTTTCTCCAGCTTTTAACATGTCACTTGCCACACCTGAATTGGTGCACATTTGCACAGTGTTACCCAGGACATTGGCTAATGATCAGCGTGTGTCATTATATTCATTGCGTCAGTCGTTCCTTGGAGAGCACATTTGTGTGTAAGGTAGTGATCTGGAAATTACATTATCACTCTTCTAGCTCCGGTCTGTGATTCCGTTATTGACTCAGCTTGTAAATACTTCCGATGAACAAAATGGGTTGAAGACGCCTTGGAGCTGATGTCTGGAAGAGGCGACTTCAAGCAGGTTCCGTTAATTGTACCTTGTCACCAGTTCTCTGAAAACAAATTCATTTTGTACGGTTAATATCACTTTTCTAACGCGGAACTAGTGTCTTATATTCACTTTAACTTCGTTTGGTTACAAACGCTCTGAACAAACCCGACTTCATGAACCTCTTTTTAGGTGTAACATGTCACAAGCTTATCGAAGATACAATGATTTGTAAACGTTTATCACTTTAAAACTAGTGCATGATGTCTGTATTTACTTCTCGAAGTGAATGGTGAAGCCAAAGACAGAGCTCTACAGAACACAAGACACATGTTTTCTCGTTCTTTAATACCATATTAAGTTTACACGTTGTCCTGAAATTACGAGGAAGCAACGAACCCAATCATTGATATCTGTTGTTTTCGTTCCTAAAACAAGTCCAATTGTTCAGACTGTTGCATGCGTTATCTGAATTGAAACGGATGCTTCTGACAGGAAGATTAGGAAAAAAACTTTTACACATTTCAATCTTATCCTTTTATAAAACCAAACTGACAAAACATATCGTGTGAGCTTTCATCGATCTATCACAAGAGAATGCCTTTCTTTCTTTAAAAATTGATGATTCGTTTCATATTACCATGTCAATGTGATCTACCAGGCAATGTTCCAGTGGTAACAGCGGTCTTTGAAATCGACGGCCGCGGTGACCTGACAATAATACTCAGAACAAATGAATTTTGTATAGCTCATTATAAATGATTTCGGGGCCCTCTGACTTCCTGAGTCAGTGAGTAGATTTGCGTCTCAGCCATTTTAGAAAACATATAGTACGTGTCCATAGGCCAGAGAGAGAGAGCGAAAATTTGAAAATGATCGTGGAAAGGTTGGAAGAAAAAGGGGCTAAATGTACAATGAGGTCTTGGCAAGTATCCAGTGGTTGGGATTGTGAACCAGGGGACAATTATGTGAACATATGAACCAGTGGTTGTTAAAAACACACATTGTGCTAAGAAGGACACCTGTGATTCATCAGTGAAACATAGCGCGAAAATATATACACGGGGATGATGTTGTGGACAGACATATAAACAACTGGATAAAAGTGTGAACACATACAGCCGTAGATGCTAGTATAAACAAAGGATGACAATCACGGTTTTACAATATACCAAAACCATGATCTTGACCACCTGTGGTCAGAAACTGCGATGTCGGTGTGGGGTAATCATTGATTTTGTGTACTGGCGATTGGATGCGTCACTCTGAGAGTGTGGGTTCAAATACCAGATGGAACTCAAAAAGCTAAAAACCACTAGAATCTATTTTACCGAGAAAGTGTAATCCCAAACACATACGTTATAAGCAACTTAATTAAACAAATCTAATGTGCTATTTAACATTCAAAACCTACAGCTGACGCTGTCGTTTTTAAATGAAAATCCCTGGCATACTTTTAAGGCATGTTCAGCGTACTTACACAATGCGTGAGTTTGGTTTTGTGGAGCGTTTAGACAACATGCACCCAGAGAAGCGCCAAGCTGTTACACTTTCTATCAATTGGAAATCGAACCCATATCTCTGACGTGCCAATACATATATGTGCATATAATCGCATGGTGGAACCTTTCACGGATGGTAAATTCCGACCCTCCTCCTGCGTCTGACAGAAGAAAATCTTTATCACATATTGTTCTAGTGTTGATGTTATATATTCACAAACGGCATGTATTATTCATTGTTTCAAAATGCCATAGTCCTTGAGTCATATCTATCCTGTGTTAATGTTAAAATGTTTAGAATAGCACTGGCACGATTCAGATGTTATTCTCATCTGAACATCTTCTGTTGTTTGAAAGAGGCAGATATATGAATGTAAAAAGAGAAAATAGATTATGTACACTTTGTAATTTAAACGAAATAGAAATTGAATTACATTTCCTCCTAATATGTCCATTTTATGACCGGTTACGAACCAAATATATTAAAAGATATTACTGTGTCCATTCAAATGTGATAAAATAGTAGTGAAAAAACAGTTCTTCTACAAAATATTTCAATGTTCATTTACTATGCTATGATTACCCGATCTAAATTCCTCTCAAATGTAACATAACTTTATGTACTATAGGCCCGTGGCCTTTTCAGTGCAAATAAAGATTATTATTATTCACAAACGGCAGAACATATATTCTTCATCTTCAGTCTTTCTTCCCTCATTCCCGTACATCTTAACCCTATCAGTCTGCACATATCCCATTCTCAGCTAAAATAACTAGTTTGCTTCTGAGCACCAAACTCAATGCATTCTAATCTTAGCATGGTGGCATTTAACTGTGTATGCTATGTGACATCCATTGTGAGCTTTCAATATGTTTCCCTAACCTTGGAAGTCAAAATCATTTGTATATGATCATTAAAGAACTACTCTTCTTTGAAAATTATTTTATTTACGAAGTTAAACGCATGTATGTAGCAATTAAATGCAATTCTTATGTAACAAAAGCATTTGTTTTACTGAAGAATCTGTCACTTTGATGGCAGCGAGATGCTTTGAAGGATAAAGTATTTTTGGATACGTTTCGAAGGGTCTTTATTAAATTATACCGGTTCGTATGGCTTCCAAAGGCGCCTTGTTCCATATAGCAAATCAAATCAACGGTGGTGATGTATTTCAGAGCACTATAAATATAATGTGTCTGCTTGGTGTGTCAAACTGGAAGTTTTTAAATGAAATTACACGGCTGACATGTTCACAGAGAATGTAATGATGTCCTGGTGTTCAAACAGCTGTATTGGTGACGAAGGAAGCCAGCGCCATAAGCCCAGTAAAGAAATATAAACATTTTATTTCAATTAATTTTGAACAAAGTAAGTGACACAGAAGTTTGCAAATTCCAATGTGTGATCGGATAGCTCAAATTTACAAACCAGAATACTCAATTTTGGCAAAGAGGGTATGCACACTGCAAACATGTACACCACAAAAGTATCATTCGGTGGACCCATATCAAGGTTGGAGACATGGGAAATAGGCTTCACGTCGTGTACAGTTGTTTATGGAACGGTATCGCCCATGAAGAATGAACGCTAAGCAGTCTTACTGCATTAACAAATTTTATATGTCTAGATTGAAAGGATCCTGTCTAAAGAGGTTAAGTTCTTAGACTAAAGTTTTGATGCAGGAGAAGTACCCGCACGGGTGAAAAATATTTTCTGTGTCTGTACAGAGCAAACACAAACATTTGAGCCGGTGTGTGGCTCCCTTGTGACATAGGTAATCAATACAGGAACAGGTCCAATGTCCAATGTCTGCAATCAGAGAATCAGGCTCCACTAGCACCTATGTCTAATTGGCAAGTCTCTCGAAACAAAATCCAATTCATCGATCGCAACGCATTAGACTGTGCTTTCTGTCCGCGAGCTCGTCTCAAGAATGCATTTCCATTCATAATTTGCTCGTAGTTGCTGAAGCAACTCATGTCCAAGTTGATGTAGATAACACTGACCAGATTATTGCTCCATGTGACAGAAAGAACCATGTTTTAGATATACTTAGAAAACACCCTTTGCAGTTTGATCCGCTTCTTCAATTATGTATAAGGTTGTAAACGGTCGACGTGAATGTTCCACAGCGATAAAGCATCATGTCCCTGACGAAGACTCATGTTTAGTGTTATTTCGATGTATCGATTTCCGATACATTGCATTATTAACTAAGTTGGTACTTTCAAAAAGATAATATTTTGCTATCTGTTGTTGCTAACACAGAAAGACATAAACCGGAATTACTTGTCATGGCACTCTGAATATACAGAACTTACCATATCTTACGGATTCCTCAGGGCTTGACAAGACTCACTGACACAATCATCAAATGACTAATTAATGTGCACAGACCTGAGTCACTGAGAGCATTAGGACCTGCCAAGGTTTGCGTAAATCAACAAGACTTGCCAAAAACGCACTGGCATAAACAGGAATTTCCAAGACTTATTGAGATAGACACATCTTGCTATTGCCATTAACAGGACGTTTCAAGGTTCACTGACATAAGCATAACTAACTCTCCCTGAGAGGCATTGACCGACTGTCATAAACAGGATTTGAGTGGACTCACAGGTATAATTTGCTAAGACACACTTACATAGTCAAGACTTCCTAAGACTCATTCACATTATTATGGATGACTAGCCAATAGCCAAGACTCACTGACATAAAGACGACTTGCCAAGATTTACTGACATGCACATACCTTACCAAGAGTCATTGACGAAAACTGGACTTGCCAAGACTGCTCACTGCTCACTGTCATACCCAGGACCTGCCAAGACTCACTGACATACATAGGATTGGCTCGATGACATAAACACAACTTGCTAAGGACTCCCAGTTGTGAAATGCACTTGTGTAGGGTTCACTGACATAACAGGACTTAATCATTAATTGTCACTGTCATACCCATGACTTACCAACACACACTGACATAAACTGGACTTGCCGATGCTCCCTAACATAATCGACTTACAATGTAGCCGGTTTCCATGCAGGTGTGTCAACGCGCTACTTGATTCTACTTTTCCTCAGGCAGAAGCACAATTCAATTATTAAGTCCTAAATTAGCACACATATTGATTGTGTGCGATTACTGGGAGCACAGTTTGTTGGAGTACATAAGACATTACGGAATATGTGCATACTTGTTTGTTGCAATGTTCTGAGTTTGAAGTTTCTGTTTTGATTTATTTGGTTTTCCTGTTCATGATCTAGTTCTACAGATATTTAGTTTCGAAGAGAATTGAAATTTGAAAATCTCATAACACTAAAGGAGTATTGACGTAATTCAATAAAATATTTACAACATTTACTGAACCAATAACATTTACACACACGTACGATAAAGGACATGACATAAGTGGCAAAACATGTCTGAAAGCGCTTCCATCTTGCCAGCAAATTTCGCTTTCAAGCACGCTTGCCGTAATCATTTTGTCGATACATAATGACTGCTTAGGTAAAGGACGTTTCATGAAGACAGACATAGACTGATTGCCCCTGTCTAATAGTCTCATGTCCCAGTGATTACAAAGTAACAACCTAAACGTAGACAAATAGAGCTGGGCTTACCTAAAGTTATGTCAAGTTGACGCATCAACCTACTATATGAATTACTTGATGAAGATGAGCGTTGAAACATTTGAAGAAATTTCACATACATTACCTCTTCTTCCTGTCATGACAAGCTGTACCAGTGTGCCATCATCATGACATATCCACAGTATTAGCTCCAGAACACACTTCGCAATGGATACTAATCCCTTCACATGAAACAATCTGTCATATCCACCATAGCGCAAGCTCTCAACATCATCGATTCCACACAGCTGAGTTTCTCTTGTTGGTAATGATTGCAGAATTCTTCAGATGGTATTTATCCGTGTTCAAGGCATGATCAAATTTTCATGACTATTAAAACATCCAGGTCAGGTGCTGTACCTATAAAAGGTAGCAACTGTCCCACGGGACCGCGCTGTCGCACAGCATCCACTTGCCATACGCGACTACGCCTGGGAAAGCGTCGTATACAGCTCAACCGTTATGGTGCAGTCGTGGCTCTTCACTGTAAGATCAATAGTCAATGGTTCTTCTGGAGGAGTCGGCAGGATCCATGTTCACCGTCCCAGGCCAAATACTCGGTAATTAGTGACATCTACTTATTGATGGATTTGTTCAGGGAAGAGTGTGTCATGTCTCAAAGAGCTTCTGATGTCTTTATTACAGAAGGTGTCTTAATAAATTATGTGAATACGTCACCAACGAGATCAAGCATGTGCTTACAAACATGTATGTCGGGGATTGCCCCTATGATTGCTTGTTAGGGAGATTTGTTCGGAGCCCTGCATAAAGATCCCTCTATAATTTGGTAATTAAGCTCATCCTGAGCTGAGGCGCCATATGCCATCATTGTTTGTGTACGTCATGGGGTATCGATCCTTTACAAATAACTCTTGCTATTATGAATCCCATGTCAGAGAGAATTTATACCGAGGAACCTTCGGAATGGGTTTGCTCAGTTGCCTTACAATTATATATGACTATTCCAAGACACATTGCACTTCTTATTCCATTGAAATGCACAGGCGTCTTAGTGTTGATTCTCGTTGGGGTTCAGGTTGACCTGCATCAGTTCTTGTTTCCTTCCTTCTAAACTAGTGTCCAAAAGAAACGATACCACGTGTTGCAAAGATCACTAAATTAAAACAAAACAACATAGACATTTCAAATTGATATTTTTCATTAGATAAATGATTTTACGGCAAGTGTACAAAAAGTCAAGGCAATCAAAGATTTACAATCAGTAACACAGGGCTTTAAACGAAGTGTGGTGCCCAAAATTGAAATTTCATTTTAGCACAGTGGAGGAGGCGAGTGAGGGTAGTCTCAACGCCACTTTAGTACCGGGTATGTCCACCAGCAGCTGCGATACATGCCATGACACGCCTCAGAGCTGATGACGTCAAACGTCGGATGACGTTAGGGGTGATTCGCTGCCACTCATCCTGGAGACAATGTTCCACTTGTTGGAGGTTGGCTGGGGGCGCAGGGCGTTTTCTGATTTTCCGATTGAGGTGATCCCATATGTGCTCAATGGGATTCACATCCGGTGAACACGCTGGCCATGGCACAACCTGTATGTTGGCGTTGGCAATGAAGTTCTGGGTCAATCTTGCCGTATGAGGCCTAGCGTTATCGTGCTGGAACACGATTCCTCCTGGATGCTGTTGGGCGAATGGCTGCACGACTGGTCGTAGAACCTCATCCTGGTAACGCTGTGCATTCAGGTTCCCCCGAATAATGACGAGCCTCGTTTTCACATCACCGCAGATACCTCCCCAAACCATTACACCTCCGCCTCCAAATGCATGGACTTGCTGGATGCATTCGGCGCCAAACGTTCACGAACTCTTCGGTATACTCGCTGCCGACCATCGTTCTTGTAATGGCAAAACCGGCTTTCGTCCGAAAACAAGACACGTGCCCAGTTTCGACGTTGCCACCGCCGAACACGCCTGGCCCATATCAATCGGTTGACTCTGTATTGACGTGTCAGGTAGACTCCGCGGTAGGGGCGACGTGCACGGATACCATGTGCCTGCAGTCTCCTGTAGACGGTTTGTCGACTGATCCGGTGTCCCAGTCCTGTCGCCGCCGTTAACGTCGCAGGAACGAAGCGGTTACGTAGGTGAAGTAACCGGATGTGGTTGTCTTGAATAGGCGTGGTCACCCGGGGTCTCCCGCTTCTCGGCCTGTCTGTTGTTCGGCCTGTTTGACGCAACCGTCGCATTAACCTGGTAACGGTTATGCGCGCGCATCCAAACGTTCTTGCTACAGCGCCGTGTGATGCTCCCTGTCGGACCATTCCAACGGCTCTTTCTCTCTCGATCGCTGTCAACGTGCCATTTCTTTTGTGTGCTTTTTACTGCTGTGGGCACAACGCGTCGGACCAGCGGTTTTATACAGTTCATCTGCACGTGCATTTCGTGCTAACGTCATTTTGAGTATTCGTGCGATTGCTTCTTAAGTGAATACATGTTACCGTTTTTTTCGATCGAATACGTTTTGTTAGGAACGTGGGATACACAGAAATATGTTTTTTATCAAAAAAGTATCATTAATTTTAAAATATTGAAAAAAATATTTGGTATCGTTTCTTTTGGACATGAGTTTACTTTCTGCTCTTCAAAGCGACCTTAAACACATCCACCATCAGGTAATAGTTATTTCACTGTGGGGTTCTCAACATGGTCATTGTATGTCTTAGTGGGGTTATGGAGAGCTTTTCTAGCATGATGACTGTGGGCTCTATGGGATTTCATACCAGGCTGACTACTGTCTTTCGAGCAATGGTATTCATGGTCGTTTCTGCTCCGGCGTTTATGGCATTTCCTACCATGCTGTCAATGAACTTTCCTACCATGCTGACAATGGATATTCCTATCTTACGGACAATGGACTTTCCTACCATGCTGACAATGGACTCTCCTACCATACTGAAAATGAACTTTCCTACCATAGTGAAAATGAACTTTCCTACCATGCCGACAATTGGCTTTCCTACCATGCTGACAATGGATTTTCCTACTTTGGTGTTTATGGGCTTCCTACTGTGGTATTTATTGACTTTCCTACCATAGTATCTACGGTCTTTCGTACCATGGTGTTTATGGGCTTTCGTATCCGTGGTATTTATGGGCTTTCCTACCATGGTATTCATGGGTTTCCTTACTATGGTGTTTATGGGTCTTTCCAACAATTCTGGACCGCCTCCGTGGTGTAGTGGTTAGAGCGTCCGCCCGGAGAGCGGAAGGTCGCGGGTTCGATCCCAGACCGCGTCATACCAAAAGACGTTAAAATATGGTACCTGTTGGTTCCTGCCTGGCGCTCGGCATTAATGGGTACAAAAGGACTGGTCGACTTGGAGTCAGTATAATGTGTCTGAGTGGGGTATTCATGCTTCACTGCGGCTTGGTATCTCAGTGGGCTAGCACTATAAAACCAACTTCAGCTAGTACAAGCAGCCGCACATACGCATACACACGCGAAATATTCCCCAGCGCGACGTTAAACCCAATTTCATCTCACCTCACCTCCAACAATACTGACTATGGGGTTTTCTGACATGATAGCTATGAGCTTTTACTACCTTGGTGCCTGTGATCTTTACTACTAATATAACCACATATTTTCCTACCGCGTTGACTGTGGTATTTACTACAAATGTGACCATGGGTGTTTCTACTGTGGTGACCATGGGCTTCGATGCCATGATGACTATGGGTTTTCCTTCCATAGTGAATCTGGGCTTTCCTGTCGTGACTGTGATCTCTACATTCATTCTGAATGTGGGTGTTTCCCCTTGTCGGTATTCTGGCAATTATCACCGTTGGCTCTTCATCACAGCCACTGTGGATAAGGTGAGCCTACCCGCTGTAAAATGATGCTGAAAGCTGCAAATGCATCACCCCGCTCTCTGATGATCTAAACACAAGATGATTTATTGTGCGCATCGATAATAGAAGACATTACTAACATACAAATAAGGTTCTCTCAGATTACGTTCGGGAATGTCCACTTCCCTAAATATACTACACATTGAAAACTGTAACATTTACTTACGAATTGGTGTAATGTTGAAAAGCAACACCCTAATTTCAGCCAGTTTTACGAAATAGATTTCTGGTACTGTACAATTGTGTGATCACCAATATGGCAAATTAACGCCATTGGTTTAACTTTGGGTTATTTCATTAGTTGGAAGACACTTATTTTGAATATGATAAGGTAAGACGATACTTGTTGGGATTTATTAGAAATACACCTGAGAAATATCTTGCTGAAAGGGAAAAGGTACACGAGGCACTAATTCATGATGGGAGATAAACATGAAGCTCAGTCACTTGGTAAATAAATGTATACATATATGTAAATATATATATATATACAATGCCGTCCGGTAATTCCGCGCACCAAAGCACATCGATCGCAACAAGGCAACTGACGTCTCTTATTTGTTGTGGTTTACGTGACTAAACACGCTGGTATGCATCATATTTACCTAGAAATATAAGTTTTATTGACGATTATAAGATTATGCCATACGGTTGACCTTACCGGCGTTCTGACGCCTTCGATTGCTGTCTGGTAATTCTTCGCAGCAACTGATGCGCATAACATCCAGCTGGAGCTCCGAAGTATGGAAGCGTATTAGGCCAGATTATTTTCAAAAATCAATTCATCCATGTAAGGAGGAGTGTTCATATTAAATCAAATTATGAATAATGAAGAAAAAGGTTTGAAAGTCTGAAGAAAATGAATTTTCATAAAACTGTCAATTTATCCGTCAATTATTGTTATTTACTTACCTTCATTGATTAAAAGCCAGTCCCTTGTGAAATGTCTCGATTTCAAGCGTAAATGTGGTAGCAGACGATGTTTACCTTCGATACGAAAGTACGCCATTGCAGCTGGGCGGATTTACCGGACTCGCTTGTATATATATACCCCATACCCCGAGGGTCTGAGCTAGTATAAAAGCTAAACACTGCTATTGAAACATGCATATCGATTTCTGTGAATCTCGGTTTCCGTCCATATGTTAAGAAAACATTTCTTATTCATTATATCAAATGAAATATACACATGTGATACAAGAGATTATGGCAAAGGTATATTGTGATCGTTTTGATATGTGCTCGAGATTAAATGCCACATAACATTCGGATGATGGCGATTACTGATCATTAAGGGCTGTTCTATTCCCATTACGTCTGCTTGCCACAGACATGACCTTTAGCATGCATCGAATTGAGCAAAAATTACCCATTTGAGTGTGACCACTAAGAAGCATCTGTATATCGTGAATAATTTTTCATTACAAGCACGAACAAAATGATGATTACAAAATGTGAAACTATCTGTTAAATTATGATTAAATTTGAAATTGAAATTGCTATAGA